AGTAAAAATGTTTCGAAATTATAGACTTTTGCGTTTATATTCAAGGTCACCTAGAATTTTTAATGATCCTTAAATCGTGAACAATTTCATGAAAATGTATTCTTCCTTTCTTTAAATAATGTAACATAAATAATTTGTTAATAATTTTGTTGCTGGTTTCTTGGAGATGGTTTTTGACAATAGTCGAATGAAATTATACAAATTTATGCTTCGTAGACCGTAATTGATATCATTAGAATATTGTTGCTTCCTATTGTATTTTAAATTACCACATTTTTAAATAATATAAATAAATGAATATTAACCTAAAAGCAATATAAATATTACAAACAAAATATTCTGTTACAAACAACTGCAAACGTATCATCAGCTCGATGTAAGTCCCCACTGACGGGTTCGGAGCCAACCCTAAGTTAAGGGTGACTAAGCCATAGTCAACCACGCTGGCCCAGTGCGGGTTGACTCACACATATCTTTGAATTTCTACCCAGATATGTGCAGGTTATATTACGATGTTTTCCTTCACAGTAAGTATGTCGGATAAAAGTACATATATAATTAAAAAACACATTCGTACATGGCGGGATTCGAACCCAGGAGCTGCAGATTACAAGACAAGTTGCTTAAACTACTAGTGCTTCATCATATTTATAGACGTTGATTATCAATTGACTGGACTGAAAAAGAAAATATCGTATTTATTTCTAACATTTATAAAAACAAATAAAAAACATATAAGTTACTACTATATTTACTATTCATTTTTTTGTCGAAATAATTCATAGAAAGTTCTATTTAGAACAAAGTTCGAGTAGTAAATGAACGTTAAACTCAATCGAAGCGTCAAAATAACAAAATAAACGAGAAAAGAATGACGTTGTTTGTTTAGGTTGATAAACAAACTTGCTTATATAAAGGTGCATACATACTTGAACGATAAACATTAAAAAAATAGTTAAAATATCACCTTAATACTATGAAAGTTTCTTAGAAGTAATATAGCTTTGTATATAAATAATTAATACCTCATTTTAGAGGTCAATAACTAGGAAATTATGTTTTAAACTCATCCGTAATATCAGTGTTTACGCTTATTATATCTACAAATAATTTTGTAATTTTTATTTATAAATTAAATACACCAACTAGTCATCACCCTTACAATCGAGTTAATGATTATCCGGACTTATGCTAGCTGTTGCCCACGACTTTGTCCGTATGTTTCTTCGGGTTGCAAAATCTATTTAAAAATAGAAAAACCTCTGTCACTCTTGTATACATGAGTTACCATCCATTAAAACGCGGACTTGCGGACAAACATTTAAAAAAGTTTAGTTCTTATGTTATAAGTAGGTAATACATCATGTCTACGAAATATAAAAAATGACATTACATACAAACACTTCTATTTTATTTATTTATATAGATATATGGGGTAAAATTTAATAAAGGTACGGCTAAATTGCATTGATTTGAAAAATCTTTACCTAAGAAAACAAGTAGACGAAAATATTTTATCCTTTTTACGTTAAAGAAGATATTGTTTACGAGAAATCTAAGTGGTAATTTTAACAATAAAATGAATCTTAGTACATTTATCTAGAATAGTAGATATGATTATGCTATATATATATATATTCTTGAGGAAATGAAACCAACATGTCCATCGGGAATTACTGTTCTCATTTGTAAGGAGCTTATACATAGGATATACGGGTCAATTCTTGATATCCAATTAGCAACGTGTAAATATTTCTATTTACTTCTATTCAACAATGATCTAGTAGGTCAAGTAGGATATATATTAGTCGCAAATCTTACTAATATTATGAATGCGAATGTTAGATAGATAGATGGATGGATGTTAGGAGGTATCTCCAGGGCGGGTAAATCTCGCAGAAATTTGGTAATGTAGAACATTACCTGGAAGAACACATAGGCTACCTATTAAGTTTTTGTAAATTATGCGCGGACGAAGTCTTAGTTGACAGCTAGTTGAAACTTTAAACTATTAGAATCCCGAAAAATGTAATAAAGAATTATTTTTTCAGTACTAAAAGACAAATTTAAATATATTTGTTCTACATAAACTCCATATCCACTTATCTTATTTAAAAAAAATATCGTTTTAACTGGAGTTTTTTAAAATAAATTCCAGCTTGATACCTTCACGCGTTTTTGAGAAAAAGGGTCGTGACAAACAGACGGACGGACAACAAAGTGATCCTATAAGGGTTCCGTTGCTTCCTATAAGGTACGGAACCGTAAAAATAACGCAAATTAAGTTGAAAGAAAAATAAAGGAATGTAAATACACGTGTCGCAGCAGTGAAATTCTACGGTAATAGTTTCTTAATTAACTAGGCGCGGCGTCTTGACCTTAATTGTTAGTGATTTTTAGACAGGGTTACTGTTGTGTTTGTACTCGTAAAACGGCACGAAAAAGGTTAATAAATGGTACGCAAAGGATAAAATTAGTTCTTGATTAGAATGTTAAGGGAAAATACGGATCTAATGATAATTCGTCTGCCAAAAACTCTCCATTTAGTAATAGTTTTTTATTTATAGTAGACGGTAATGTAAAAGTCTATCGATCTGACGTTACTGTCTGCTTATTTCATTTAGTGTACCAATAAAATACAATAATTTTGCAGTTTGAAGCTAAATTGCAAACTATTTTTTTTCGTAAATTTCATATTTACGTATGTTTCTTTGTCTACTCTTATTTACTTAAACATCTTTCATAAGATGAAACGACCACAATAATACGAGTGGAAAAGTCTTAAATTGACTAAAATATAAACATTATCATCATCATCAGCTCACTATACGTCCCCACCGAGGGGCTCGGAGCCTACCCTAAGTTAGGGGTGATTAGGCCATAGTCAACCACGCTGGCCAAGTGCGGGTTGGTTGACTTCACACATATCTTTGAATTTCTTCTCAGATATGTGCAGGTTGCATCACGATGTTTTCCTTCACCGTAATAACGTCGGTTAAATGTACATATGAAAAACGGAAATAAAAAAAAAACATTGGTACATGGCGGGATTCGAACCCAGTACCTGCAGATTTCAAGTCAAGTGCTTGACCCCTGAGCCACCGACGCTCTTATAATATAATCGCGGGGAATATAAACATATTCCCCGCGAATCTTGACAGCTACATGAATAAAACAATACATATAGCATTTGTTATAACTAATATCCGAATGGATAACACGAGATCAGACAAATTTATTACTTGCGTTCTAATAAATTGCCACAATATATACACAGACTAGCGATCGCCCGCGACTTCGGCAGCGTAAAATTAAAAAACCCTATAATGTTTGTGTGCATAAGCTAGCTTTTCGTCCAAGTCTTGTCAAAATAGGTCCAGCCCCTCCAGAGATTACCCGGAACCCGGTTTGTTCCTTGCGGACAGACATACAGACACAAAAATTATTATTTTTTTGTTAATACATCATGTGTATGAAATAAGACTTTTTAGATGTTACATACAGACATTTCAATTTTATTAATATTTATAGATCAATTAAAATAGTTCACAAGATGTTTTTACGTCACTAATAACAAAAAAAAATCTTAATATGGTTAAAAATAAAAATTCAAATTTCCGAAGTCATGACCCTGCTTAGGTATGTATTCATTTATACGTATTAACAATTCTTATCTATATTGGTATCATATAAAAAAATTCCAAGTTAAATTAGATTAAATAATCAAACCAAAAATTTTATATTTGTAACATTATGAACAAGGAAATCTTATATATAAAATTCTCGTGTCACAATTTTTGTTCCCATACTCCTCCGAAACGGCTTGACCGATTCTCATGAAATTTTGTGAGCATATTGAGTAGGACTGAGAATCGGGCAACATTTATTTTTAATCCCGCGCGGACAGAGTCGCGGGCGCTAGCTGTCGCCCGCGACTCTGTCCGCGCGGAATTAAAAAAGAACTTAGTAGTATATACTCTTCCAGGCTATGTTCTCCACGCTTCATATCAACAAAATCTACGTAGCCGTTCCTGAGATAACTTCTAACAAGCATCCATCCATATAAACATTCGCAATTATAATATTAGTAAGATTATAAGAAGAAAATATTAAATATTATAATATAATTTAAGAAGATTTTAAAATATCTTCCTAAATATTTTCATCAACACGAGATAATTATTAAAAAGAACGGACTAAGATGATATTAGTATCGTGAGAGTTTCGTCACATGAAAAGATTTCTCGAGTACATACAAGGGGTCTTTAGAAAAATAACCGAAAAGAAATACATATATTTATATATACAGGATACATGTATTTGTTAACGTTTATTTACAGTTAAAATAACTAGAAATCCTTATAAAAGCCTGATATATAATTATACATAAAATTATTTTTTGGGAGTTTTGAACTTATCTTAATTACTTTATAGCGTTTAGAGTATTTTTCTTAGTAGTATTTCTACTTCAGTTGAATAATATAGTAAAGAACATAAGACCAAGATTTACGCGGATTTTTTTTTACAAATAAAATTACGTTGAATCAAAAATTACGGTACAAAGATTGAAGATTTTTGAAATATACATATATAAAGAGCTTTTAATTTTCTATTATAATAACTTTACATATATTCTTCATATGTATTATAAAAATATAAATTTTATTAATGTTAAAAAGTTAACGCGAGCGGAATATTTCAAGTTAATTGACTCATTGTTCTTGAATGTAACTGGCATGTTAAAAATCTGATGTAGGCCCCAAAAACAATTGAAATTCGCGGCGTGTTTCTATTTCAACCCCGTAGGCGTTGTCAGAGAACATACAGTAATTTAAAATCGTCCCAAATGAATCGTTTACACCACGATCCCCAGTAAGTCACAGACTAAGCGATATCCTTTCACTTAAGCACCTACGACCGCAGTACGCTCACGCGAGAATGTCAATTGCCATTCTGTACTACGTACTGGTGTTACTCTTCAGTGCTTTTGGAGCTTTCGTAGAGGACGGACGTTACTTGATTTCAAATTTGGAACGCGAATTTTACGCAACTTGAACTGAGATGAGATTTTGTTCATAATGATTTGTAATTTTTTTTTAGTTTAATATTAAATAATGATTTTAAATCTGAATAGACTTAATTAGAGTATTTAAATAATTGTTGTATTAACGTGCTGTGAGTGTGTATTATCTAAAATGGTTGAGAGGAGTGTACTTATCTTTACATCGTTATTCCTTATCCTTTTCGGAGGTAAGTTTTGAACACAACTTATATACATGCTTAAACGAAAGACGACGCCTGAAATAATCTTCAGACGTTGTTTGCTATTTTTAAAAACAAATTATAAACAACTAAATTTCAATACAAAATAACACAATTTGCTTTATTACAAGCTATATAATTATGTCTTTAGTTACGTAAAAAAGTTTCTTTAAAAATAACAACAACATAATTTATGTATTTAATGTAAAGGGGTAGGCAGTGATCATTTTCCATTTGGTTCTGACACAACTCTCTCGTTGCATCCACATTCATACATCTACGAATTACCTCTACGTATTGCCGTAGCTTTTAATTTAGAGTTGCATAATGAAAAGGTTGCTAACGGACTGCAAGAATTAAAATATTGAGATATTTTGACAAAATAAAATCAACATCATCTCGAAATCAGTAAGCGTCAATATTGACAATGCGAATGTTCAGATGGATGGATGCTAGTTACAAGGTATCTCCAGAATAGCTGCATGGATCTCGCTAAAATTTGGCATAGATTTAGAACATAGCCTGAATAATTACTAGGCTACTAATTAAGTTTTTTTTTCATTAAAGAAGTAATGCAAGTTCTCAGAATTTATGTATATATAATCTGTTATTTTCTAAAGCATCTGGCGAACTTAAAATACCTATAAAATAACAATTATGTCAAAGTATTTATTTCTTTAAATAAAATCATTGAAAACGATTATGATTCCATTTTCAAATTTATTTGTAATTGGTTTAGAATATTTCTAATTGTCTCTCATCTACGTCATGTTTTGATAATTATTTGAAGTAATGCAACCTGAAATTATTCACTAGATTTAATTAACTCGTTCCCTTAAAATCACGTCCGGAGGAAATCTGTTCCTCTTAACTAAATTCAAACTTGGAATGAAACGAAATTGCGACGAGAAATAAAATGTTCCGAACACCAATTGCCATTGTTCGTGATTCCTTTACAGTAGAACTCCAATGCGGTGACACTTGTATTAATATGCTAGTTGTAGCACGGGACTTTGTCCGTGCGGAATTAAAAAAAACACAATTAGTAGCCTTTGTGTTCTTCCAGATCGTGGTCCACATGTATCAAAAATTTCGTCAAAATCCGGTCGACCGTTCCGGAGATACCTTCAAACAGTCATCCATCCATCTAAACTTTCGCACCTATACATATAAAAGAAAGTCGTGTTAGTTACACTATTTATAACTGAAGAACGGCTTTACCGATATGGCTGAAAATTGCTGAGGAGATAGCTTAGAGCCAGGAGACGAACATAGGATACTATTTACTGATTTTTTTTCTAATTTATGCCTCGAAGAGCTGCTTTTTTTTAACTTACTAATATTATAAATGCGAATGTTTAGTTGGATGTGAGTTTGTTAAAAACTAAATATTTAGTTCGTTAACTTTAGTCATTAAAATAATAGTAAAACACTGTTTTTGCATTTTCATTCTCAAAACTGGATATGTTATATACGTTCGATATACATAAAAATATCAATGCCAATATAAGTAATTATTATGAGAGAAAGTAAAATTATGTTATAATATTATTCATAATTTTTAGATCAAGAATCCAAAGGCTTCCAGATAAGATGTAACGTGACCTTATGAACGTTATTGCCTGACATTTGTCGAAATTGGCTTGTCTCGTTTGAGATATTCCCAAAAATCTGTTTATTAGAGATAAATCATCATCTAGTATCGTTGTATTCAATTGATTCTTAACAGATTACCTTTATTTTTTTTCCAATGAATAAAGATAATACATTGTATTATTATATTATTTTAGGATTATAGGAGCGTCGGTGGCTCATTGGTCAAGCAGTTGACTTGCAATCTGCAGGTCCTGGGTTCGAATCCCGCCATGTACCAATGTGTTTTTCGATTTCCGATTTACATATGTACATTTATACGACGTTCTTACGGTGAAGGAAAATATCGTGATTCAACCTGCACATATCTGATAGGAAATTCAAAGATATGTGTGAAGTCAACCAACCCAGTACTTGGCCAGCGTGGTTGGCCTAATCACCCTTAACTTAGGGTAGGCTCCGAGCCTCTCGGTGGACACGTATAGTGAACTGATGATGATTATTATTATTTTAGCGGTTGATAATTTGCTACAAAAATCTACTAATTAAAAAATACATATCTTTATATAATATATAAATAAAAATGGAGTGTCTGTGTATAATATTAAAATAAAAAATAAAAATATTCCTAAGACGATGTGAAACGTAAACTATTTTGACAGGAAGTATTTTGTGTCAATTTCTTACTTATCCAGCACTTGGATATTGTGAAACTGGTTTATTCTATAAAGTTGTATTAAGGGGTGTTACATTTCTCCATTGTTTATAGAATCTAGAGTGTGACATGTGTGATATAAAGTTACACGTCAACAATGTACTCTTGTATTTAAATAATGGAGTGTCACACTTCGCGTCGCAATAGTGCCACAACTATACCATCCATTTGATACTTGTAACTTTGTAAACTTAGAAAACGCATTGTTCGCTAGATAAAAGTTCTTTTCCATATATTTCTTTGTGTATCTGTTTGCTGTCATACTTTTCCTCGCTGACAGCAAGGTAACTTATGTATAGAACCAGAGCGTGACCTTGAAAATGTTTATCAGTAACATTCAATGGAAATCTGATTATTAAAGAGACTAGCTGTCAGCTCCGTGTGTTCGGAATGAAAAAATCTTAATTAGTACGTTCTTCCCAACTACGTTCTACATTTATGCCAAATTTCAGCCAGATCCATGCACCTGTTCAAGAGTTATCTTCATACAAACATATATACATCCATCTAAACATTCCCATTTATAATGTTAGAAAGATTAAGCTTTAGGAAAAACAATGCATCGTTTTATTAAAGCCAGTAACATACAATGAAATAATTTAAAAGCATTTTAAAAGATCCTTCAAATTGTAGATGACAAGTAATTGCTAGAAAATTAAACAATCTACTCGTACTGAGATGCCTGCGGCTTTAGAAAGATATAATTTTTATCGCAAACCGTCAACACACCATAGGTAAATAATGGGAAATATTTTTAATTGTTATATCCTACTTGATGTGTTCGACAATAACGAACCTTATTACATCCGAACTTACGACCCGTTACGTCACGTTGTCGTTACGTTACTCGTAGTTGTAAAGGTCACACGTCACACTGTAAAACCGCCCGAGGAATCACAAGTGTAGATATGTGTTTTTTGTCAGGCATTGATATGTCAGAATATGAGCATTATTCAACGCTAGTCAGCAGAATGGGTTGACGTCAAGTAGCAAACGGACTTAATAGATACTGAAGAACCAAGAAACATTTTATACAAATGTTAAGAGAGAATAATTTTGGTTAGACCTGCAGTTACATTGTTGTCCGAATGTCCAATTCGAGAATACGAGAGTTACTTGGATCATCAGAAAAAGGACTTTGAGTACCTCCTTTATTAATCCCCTTTCCCATCCTATCTCTCTCATTTTCTTCTCCCCTTCCAAGAAATTATTGGCTGATAACGTAACGTGTGTATATGTATATAACAAACGTAGAGTGTGTTTCATAAATTTTCCCACGACCTCTTCTGGTACATAATTACAAATGGTTCTCAATATAAAATTCTTAAAGATTGCTCTTTGAAATTATTCCACTCTGTATGCTTAGAGTCTGAGCAAAAGATTAAAATAAGCTTTCTTGTTTAAGAAGAAAATGCAAAACTTTTTCTTTTCCAATCCTATAAAGACCACGACTCCAATGCTTCATCTGAGGTTCTTAATTAAAAAAACCGATGGAACAATGGGGTCGTCGAAACAAAAAAGGCGGATCTTGGATTTAAATAAACATGGTACGGTTGCTTTTGAACGAAACGTTTCTTTCTACAGGGTATTTTTTAGGCTAATTCTATTGGATTCACCGGTGATAGCATTAAAGATTTACGCATTAGCCTAATGGCTCTTATCGGAACAAAATTATCTTCGGATTTATTTTAATTCACAAGATGAAGAATGACTTAAATATATTTGACCAAATTTAAAGACTTGCTTCAATAAATTGAACACGTTGAAGTACTTTTCAATATTTCGATAAAATGTGTTTACTTTTTGGGTTTATGAGGAATGTTTGAGATACCTTTAATCTTACTAATATTATAAATACGAATGTTTAGATGGATGGATGTTTGTTTGAAGGTATCTTCGGAATGGCTTATCGGATCTCGCTGAAATTTTGGATACATATAGAGCATAGTCTGGAAGAACGTAGGCTACTAGTAATGTTTTTTTTAATTCCACGTGGACGAATTTTGATAAATTCACATAATGATGACTTTAAGTCAAGAAAGATGAAAACAAAATTCAGATGTAAATATTATTATCGCATATAACAATCGCCCTTTATTATTAATTAGGAATTATCGATAACAATATTTCATATTTTATTTAACAGATTCATAAAGAACAAGAATATTAAAGAATTTCCTTAAAAATTAAATTAATAAAATATTATTTACGGTTTCTAAGAATTTTATAATGAGATTATTGACGATACACAAAATGAAATGTAATTATGAAACCTTTTAACTCACAGATTCCATTAGATTCTCGTCGAATAAATTCCTGGAGGAAGTATCTTGAAACGTCAAATGAGTCACTGTTTTTATCCTTGATTTTTTACTTCATTATAATACTGGTAACATTATTTTGCAATTTTCATCCTCTCCCTTTTTCTTAAAGGGCAAGATATGGCTAATCTTACTCTTACTAATATTATGAATGGGAATGTTTGGATGGATAGATGGATGTTTGTTTGAAGGTATCTCTGGAACGGCTCAAAGGACTTTGATGAAATTTAAAGCACTCATAGAACATAGTCTGGAAGGACACAGTCTAATCTTTTAATTTTTTTTTTGTTTTTTTTTAATACAGCTAGTTTTCCATACATCTTCATCAAAACTGAATTCACTCTACACATATTTTCATT